TTTTTTTAAATGGCGCTCACTCGTTTTTGTGAAAGATCCAAGAAGGGTCACTTTCCACACAGGCACACTTCATGTTTGGTTGAAATAATCCTTAAGCATGTAAATTTATAATTTCCTTCAGTTTAATTTAAATGTGCAATTAAAATAAATAAAAAATATATGTATATTTTAAAGTTTAGAATTAGACAGCCTTGCGTTGTGTAGACAATTGCATAGTGAAAATTACCCCAACGCACCCCCTAGTGTCCAACCTACTCTAATACTATTTTAACCTGTTTAAATGTGAACAAGGGATTTACAACATTAAAGAAATCCTTTATTTATAACATGTACATGAAAAATCTAAAAGATTGGACACAACTATGGGACACGGTCGTGCAGCAGCGAGCAACAGTGAAAGGAACCTCAAGGTTGTAAATGTGTGAAATTGTATAGGGCCCCATTCCTGTATTTTGCCTGGGGCCCCCAAATCACTAAATCCACCCTGCTGTACAGTAAGTCAGAAGAAAAGAAAGGTTTATAGAGCGGGTAGTAATGTTTCTGTTGCTATATGATTCATGTAGACATATTTGGAAGATGATAAAACAAGTAATGGAACCTAAAAAGATAACATTTTGTTTCTTATTTAATCTCTACCCCTTTTTCTTTCTCTCAGTCCGAATTTGAGACAAAGTTATAGTTGGTTATTTGCTAAATTGAAAATCATGATTGTGTTATTTTTTCCTGGACCTACTTCTGCTCTTTCATTTCCAGTCAAGTGTGGAAAAAAGCTCTTCTCAGCAAGATGCGTTTTCTTTTATCACTGCACATGGAAAATCCCTTTTCTTCTGACTCTGATTCTCTCTTTCTCTGTGTTTTTCCTCTCATGTGCTGCAGGAGATTTCAGACATGGATGTGCAGGAGCTGGTGATGAAGTCTGTAGGTCGCCTGACCCTGGTGAGACAGGCCTTCCTTCTCCCGCAGAACACCAGCCAGCGCTGCGTCCGGAACAACCACCGCATCAACACGTCCCTCTGCGACCCCAAAGACCCAAAGGCACAGAAGTTAGAGGTGTGATTCATTCCCCCATACTCATAACTCATGCATTCAAGTTAATCATGAATCATTTGCCTTCATTTCCTTTATTGATTGTGTCCATTAACTGTCACCATTAGCCTTTGAGCTAACTTCCTTAGAAAACTAGAAAATGTCAATGTGAAAATTAGCAATCTTGTTTTGCTGGGTTTTCAGTTGTGCCTGTGGGTGCCATTCCTGTTTTCTACTATTTATCCAACTAAATGTATTTTCCCACATGTAAATTTACACAATAGACAACATAAATTAACAGATGTGTTGTGTACTGAGCCACATTCATTACTGGTAAACACTTCATGGTATGTCAATACACATTTTTTCAAAAGCCCTACTCTATATGAATTCATAGTTGCGTGGGTATATGTTGGTATCGACAAGGCAAATATATATTTTCAGCAGGGCCAGGAGATATTTTTGATATTCACAAAACAGGACAATGATCTTAATACCTTTATTATTTGGTCATTAAGTTACCAAAATAATGTGTCATTACATTAGTTTCACAATTCACAAAAAACATACAGTATGTAGTATGTAAATACTGATGTTTATTGCCTTATATGTTGGTATCCATAAATTAAAATGATTAAATAGTCTGAATAATATATGTAATAAAAACACTTTCATGTATAACACATATGTAGTAAAAACATGCCTTGAAGATTTTTTGTTTGTTTGTTTGTTTGTTTTTTTACAATATTTATACTTTGCTACAATGGCTGTCTGGTTGAAATTGTGTTTAAAAATGTTTTAAAAACCTTTTTTATAGAAAAACATATAAATATTGCTATTTCTTAGAATATTAATCAACAAATGAGGCTAGATCTCAAAATTCACTTTTAAGTGAGTAATTGTTGTTATTTTGAACTTTGTTTGTATCCACATACTTTTGGGGCCACTATATGTATTGAATTTCATCAAAAGCTAGAAAAATATTGAGTTGTAATCAGCCATTATTTTCAGTATGTGAGATATGAGGGGACATGTGCTCTTCTCCATGTAATGTTGAATGCATACTGTATAAGCAGCTCATGTTTGATGTTAAAGATTCAGTTTTGCTCAGTATTCAGGACTCCAACCCTATTTTACCCTGCACTGAAGTGTATCACATCCCTCTTTCTCGACATATATCCCACCCTCCCTTTGGAATACTCCTTTGCACCTCCCGTTCCCTTTAGACCACCGATCACTCATCTTCCCTGGAGAGACCCATTAACCCCTGCACTTCAAATAGACTTAATGGATTTCCCTGGTCAGCCAATCTTCTCCCCCCTGAATTTAACCCCGTCTTTGTCTGTTTACCCCCTTGGCAGAGGCAGCTTTGTTGCTTCGGTGGTCTCGACTCCTCCTGCAAATGCTATATCATGAAATAGCCTTCCCGAAAAACAGCCCACCCCAAAAATGCACTTTGTGGCCAAGGCATGAAACATAAATCAATAAGTAAGCCCTTTATGTTTTTGCTCTTGAAGATGAAAAATACAGCGAATGGAGAAAAGCCACACAGCTCGACGCTGTTGCTTGGTAGTCTTGTGGATCCTTGTCAAGTCTGCCTCTTTGGGTCATTGCTCTTTTTGTACGCCCATTCTCTCGGTATACGAAGAGTTGTTTTATGGGAGTCGGGAAGAGTAAACACAAGCTACACCGGTGTTCTGCTCTGTGTTGGAATGGCGAAGCCCATTCCCTTGAAAACTGGAGGATAAAACTCGAGAAACATAAGACGAGAGCGTCATCCCTGTCGACTCTTCCATCTTATTCTCCAGTCTGCTTTGAAGTCGAAGTACATATATACTGCGTAATTGGCAGTTAGTTTGTCGGCTCTCAAAGCCATTACAGCCTCATACCTGAGCCAACCGAGCGTGACTCCTAACATAATTAGAATAGCCTTTCCTTTGTGCTTCTCTGTTTACTGGTGAAGATTTTTGTCAAGGCTATGGTTGTATGCGAATAGATTAAGTCAAGTCAAGTTTATTTGTACAGCGCTTTTCACGATACAAATCATTGCAAAGCAACTTTACAGCAAATTAAGTTTCTACAATATTTAGTGGTAGCTTATCAGTGGTGACTGTCAATTAATGTACATATGGCAGAAATGTACGGAAAAATCAATTTAAGACGTAATAAAAAAGACGATGAACACTATTAACAGCAATTATTACATGATGCAATCAAACTTATAGCAAAATGTGGTAGTTCTGTATGTTGTTTCAGGGTTGGCATCATCTGAGGTCCTCTGAGGGGTTGGCATCATCTCTTCTCAGGTGTTCTAGATCCAGACTGAAGCTTGTGTAAATCCCCGTGGCAAAAACAGAGAAACAAATAGAGACATAATTAGCGTAGCTGCTGTTCCAACCAAGCAAAATTGATTTGTTTAACCCAAACTAAAGAATAATAATGTGCATTTGATCAGATATAACTGCAGTACAAGATTACGAGATGCATTATTTGAATGCTTGGCCAAAGAGATGTGTCTTTAATCTAGATTTAAACAGAGAGAGTGTGTCTGAACCCCGAACATTATCAGGAAGGCTATTCCAGAGTTTGGGAGCCAAATGCAAAAAAGCTCTACCTCCTTTAGTGGACTTTGCTATCCTAGGTACTACCAAAAGTCCAGAGTTTTGCGACCTTAGGGAGCGTGATGGATTGTAGCGTGGTAGAAGACTAGTTAGGTACGCAGGAGCTAACCCATTAAGGGCCTTATAGGCAAGTAATAATATTTTGTAACTGATACGGAACTTAATAGGTAGCCAGTGCAGAGACTGTAAAATTGGGGTAATATGATCATATTTTCTTGACCTGGTAAGGACTCTAGCCGCTGCATTTTGGACCACCTGTAGCTTGTTTATTGAAGATGCAGGACAACCACCTAGCAGTGCATTACAATAGTCCAGTCTAGAGGTCATGAATGCATGAACTAGCTTTTCTGCATCAGAAACAGGTAACATATTTCGTAACTTGGCAATGTTTCTAAGATGGAAGAATGCTGTTTTTGTAACATGGGAAATATGATTTTCAAAAGACAAGTTGCTATCTAATATAACACCCAGATTTTTGACTGTAGAGGAAGTAACAGTACACCCGTCTAGTTGCAAATTGTAATCCAAGAGATTCTGTGTACTGTCTTTTGGTCCAATAAGTAATATCTCTGTCTTATCCGAATTTAATAGGAGAAAATGATTGGTCATCCAATCTTTTACATTTTTAACACACTCTGTTAGCTTAGATAATTTAGAAGTTTCATCTGGTCTTGTTGAGATATATAGTTGAGTATCATCAGCATAACAGTGGAAACTAATCCCGTATTTTCTAATAATATTACCAAGGGGCAACATGTATATCGAAAATAGCAGAGGACCTAGGACAGATCCTTGTGGCACTCCATATTTTACTGGTGATAATCGAGATGACTCCCCATTTAAATGAACAAAATGGTAGCGATCGGACAGGTAGGATCTAAACCATCTTAAAGCCTGCCCTTGAATACCTGTATAGTTTTGTAATCGATCTATGAGTATGTCATGATCTATAGTGTCGAACGCAGCACTAAGATCAAGTAAAACTAGCAATGAGATACAGCCTTGGTCTGACGCAAGAAGCAAGTCATTTGTAATTTTAACAAGTGCAGTTTCTGTGCTATGGTGGGGCCTGAAACCTGACTGAAATTCTTCATAGAGATAATTTTTTTGCAGGAAGGAGCACAATTGAGCAGACACAACTTTTTCTAAAATTTTAGACATAAAAGGAAGATTTGAGATGGGTCTGTAATTTGCCAGTTCACTAGGATCTAGTTGTGGTTTCTTAATAAGAGGCTTAATAACCGCCAGCTTGAATGGTTTTGGGACGTGACCTAAAGACAACGACGAGTTAATAATATTGAGAAGCGGTTCTTCTGCTACAGGTAACAACTCTTTCAGTAATTTAGTGGGTACAGGATCTAACAGGCATGTTGTTGGTTTAGATGCAGTGATAAGTTTATTTAGCTCTTCCTGTCCTATAATTGTAAAGCACTGCAGTTTATCTTTTGGTGCGATGAATGAAGCTGAAGTATTATACGCTGTAGAATCTACATTTGTTATTGTATTTCTGATGTTATCTATTTTATCAGTGAAGAAATTCATAAAGTCATTACTATTAAACTGTGAGGGAATATGTAGATCGGGTGGCGTCTGGTTATTTGTTAATCTAGCCACTGTGCTAAATAAAAACCTTGGATTGTTTTGGTTATTTTCTATGAGTTTGTGGATATGCTCGGCCCTGGCAGCTTTTAGAGCCTGTCTATAGCTGGACATACTGTTTTTCCACGCAATTCTAAAAACTTCCAAGTTAGTTTTTCTCCATTTGCGCTCAAGACTACGAGTTTTTTTCTTGAGAGAATGGGTATTACTGTTGTACCATGGCGCAGTACGTTTTTCTCTAACCTTTTTCAATTTGATGGGGGCAACAGCTTCTAATGTATTAGAGAAGATAGTGCCCATGTTGCTAGTCATTTCGTCTAGTTCATGTGTACTTATGGGTACACAGAGCAGTTGAGATAAATCAGGCAGGTTATTTGTGAATCTGTCTTTGGTGGCTGGAACAATAGTTCTGCCCAGACGATAACGCGGAGCGATATAGTTAATATCAGTAATACGCAGCATGCACGATACAAGGAAATGGTCAGTAACATCATCACTTTGAGGTACGATATCTATATCAGTAAGATCAATTCCATGCGATATAATTAAATCTAGCGTATGATTAAAACGATGAGTGGGCCCGGAGACGTTTTGCTTGACTCCAAAAGAGTTTATTAGGTCAGTAAACGCAAGTCCTAATGCATCATTTGTATTATCAACGTGAATGTTAAAATCTCCGACAATTAGCGCTTTATCAACAGTAACCAATAGGTCTGAGAGAAAATCTGCAAATTCTTTTAGGAAATCTGTATATGGCCCTGGTGGTCTATACACAGTAGCCAGAGCAAGAGATACAATAGATTT